ACCCTATCGGTTAGGGCTTTGGCTTGCAGGGTTAACAGGAGCTGAGTGGGATGTCTTCCTGTCCCCAGTGACTGATTTGCCCTTCCAGGTCCTGCCAATGAGCCAACCTGGCTGCGCTGTCATAAGTAGTGCCCTGGAATACCTTGGACTTGTCTGGCTCAGGACTACCGAGACAGCCACAGAGGCCTTATTCCCCAGATTATCTCCAACAATTCAGGCGTTTGCCTACAAACACACAGTAACTTCACTTCACAGTATATGCCTTGAAGCCCTTTAAGACATCCTCCCTATGTGAAAGGCTCAGCTATGTCAAATGTATATCAAATGCAATGGGGACACCTGTGGGACCATTAAGAAGATCTCAAAAAAGAGATGGTAGTAGACAGACATAGTGGCCCGAATGCCACCCACCTCAGACCTTCTGTAGTGAAAACATTTCAACATTACTGTTTATTTCATCCATCCTTAACCAATGATACCAAACCACATTAAGTAAATGTAAGTACTGTGTACTTCGTAACAAGCTTATATATCATTTAAAACATTGCTTTGCAGCCTATTTTGTTTACAGTGCTAAATAAAACCTGTAATCCAAATTAAACAACTTTGCTTTACATTAAATATTATGATCCCAATGTTTAACAATAACAACAACTTGCTACACCTTGACTCAAGGTTAGCATCTCGGAGCGTTTAAATAAATGACCCAGAATTAATAGTGTGTCGTCTCTGTTCACAATGTATCTGAAAACACCAACATTAACAGGAAATGTTGGTGTCAGGGGTTGGCCTGCTGACAAGGACAGCTGCTATCTGTTGGCTATCGATCTGCATCAATTCTAAGAAATTCAAAAAACACTTTTGAATTACAAAAAAGGATGTGCTTCTCCCAGTGCATTTAAACCACTGACCTTTCGTTTTGTCTCTGCTAAACAAAACAAATAATTGCACATACAATAAGGTGTTCTACAGCTCCAATGACCTGCTCTGTGGGCAAAGTAAGCCACCTAGTTAACACCAGGTTCACTAAAAAGCCGACTTTAATATATCAGTAAAATGAAGGTAGCAAAAATATAAAAACTTAGTCCATGAACCAGTAATCTTTCTACATGTCAAACCAATGCAGAAAACATCTTGCTTAATTTATCATTCTTTTGCTTTGATCGTTCTGGTTCTATAACAGTAAGAATGTTTTATAACAATAATAATCCTTGCATTATGATGTAGTGTCTTATCATGTCGCCGAGACTTCTCAAAACACTAAACAGGATATACTGTAAAGTGGATTGACTGTGTATTTTGTGGGCAAAATGCGGCAGTGCAATTGTGCAAAGCAATGGCCCACAAACAGCGATGGAGTGGGTGACCAATTTTATACTGCTATGTCTGGTTTCCATAGTGGTTAGAAAATGGCAACCCATACTTAGATATAGTTCTGTGATTCCCCCAGTGTGTGGGGGCTGTTCAACTGGAAAACCAGACCTTGTCCTCCCTTAACATTCATGCACATGAACTTCCAGCAGGATCGCTAGAAAACCAAGAAACCAAATCAGTTTATTTTTTAACTTTCCTCAGCCAGAGGTAAAATGTCATATCGTCATTACAGCCCTAGTGGAGATCAGCTCACTCAAACAAGACTAGACATTGAACCGGACATGCATGAAATCACATGAGTGCATTTACCCATTGAGTCTTTGATGTCCAGATGGATAAGTTTTGTCTATCGTCCAGACCCCCATACCCAGGGCAATTTCCTTCTTCAAAGGGCTACCACTTACTGGCATCCAATCAGGCTGCTAAAGCGCTATATCAAATGCAAGGATTATTATCACCCCTATCCCCCCATCCTCAGCAGGCTCCACTTGCTCCCCATCACTAAGACGATACAGTTCAAGATCCCGGTCCTTATCGTCAAAGCTCTCCACAGCTTTGCTCTTCCCTACCTATGTGAAACCTTCTAACCCCCTACCAACCTGTCTGCTCCCTCTACTTAGCGGGCTCTGGCCTGGTCCCTCACCTTGCCCGCCCCACCATTGGCAGGCGAGCCTTCGGCCTCTCTACCCCCACCCTCTGGAACACCATCCCACAGTCCTCCTGACATCAAAGGCGCTGTTCAAATGTAATTTGTTGTTATTGTTGATTGTTTTGAGAGCTCAGATATTGGGGTGAAATTTGCAATATTCCCAAACAAATTCTATTCCTTAGCTATTCTCGGTCTCAATAATTATAAGAATCCTTGCTTTTGATGTAGCGCTTTATCACATCACATTATTGAAACATCTCAAAGCTCTTCAAGGATATACTGTAAATCTGATGCTGAACTCACTCAACATCCACAAAGTTGCAGCTTCCACTTGGAGTTGTTCAATAGCATTCCCTATCAGGGGATCTGGTCTAATTTTTCCCTCCTTAGCCCAGGAACACAGAAGCCAATTGATTGCCACCCCCATTGCTGACCCATCTGGGATCAATTGACTCAGGAAGGGACGAGAGAATTTGAAACTAAGGTTTTCCTGTTCTGCATGCCTCGGTTTTGCATTTCGCAAAGAAATGGGAGAGGCATAATATATAATAATAAATAATAATCCTTGCATTTGATATAGCGCTTTTCATGTCTTCTAGACGTCTCAAAGAGCTTCACAGAATATGCTGTAAAGTGAATTGACCGTACATTTGTGGGCGAAACGCGGCAGCCAATTGCGCACAACAGTGTCCCACAAACAGTTGTGTATTGAAAATGACCAATTTATTATTTTTTTTGTTTTGGAAGGATTATTATTAGGCATGTGGAGTAAGGCGACTTGCCCAAGGTTTCACCCTTCTTGGAATTGAACCCAGGTTTCTCGCTTGTAAGGCGAGAGCTCTAACCACTGAGCTACAGGATAGGTTCAGTTCCCCTCCCCACCCTCCCACACACAATGTCACAATTTCTTGCACAGCAAGAGTTAGTCACTGTGGGGAAGTCCACACTGGAAACCAAATAATATTTCTTCTTGTGGGCAGGGAAAATTGGAATTACGATTACTTTGACGTATGGCCACCTAGTGGACAGCTGAAGAGCAGCATACTCCTGACTTCTTTCAGCTACAAGTAGTGACAGATCACCTGAAATCCATACAAAGGCAGAAAAGGCAGAGGAAGAAATTTCATACCCTTTTACTAGTGTGGTTTAAATCTATTTAGATCTATTTATCGTGAGGCATGCCTGTTTCTAAAAATAACAACCTTTATGTGGCGCCTTTCAAGTCGGGAGCAGTTCCCAAGGCATAAACTGATCTTTATTCGTTCATAAATAATTTGTGCATATTGTCAAATATAAAAAGAAGTGAAACACGAATCTAATATCTAAATGCTAAATTTGTGCCTATTTTACATTAACGTGTAAGTAGTTATTGCATAAGAAACTTGCTTTCATTATTAAATTGGTTACCAATAAAGTTAAAATGTCCAGTGTTTCATCATAATACACAACATGCATATGCAAGAGCTCAAAATATCATTAGGTTATACATTCACTGTCAAATACTGAGTGACTCATACAATTCTGATTATCTCAGGCATATTTTATACATCTATATAAACTGTATTTTACATAGTTTGATTTCCAGATAAATCTATTTATCAGGTGTGTCAGTTTTGCTTAGTCAGTAGCACTCTTGCCTTTGAGTCAAAAGGTTACAGGTGGATGTTGAACTCACAGTCCAGGCTGACACTCCAATGCAATGATGAAGTGCATTGTATCGTGGAGTCCTGTAGCTCAGTGGTTAGAGCACTCGCTTTGCAAGCGAGAGACCTGAGTTCAATTCCAGGCAGAGAGAAACCTTGGGCAAGTTTCCTTACTCCACACGCCTAATAATAATCCCTCCAAAACCAAAAACAATAATAAAATTGGTCATTTTCAATCTACGACTGTTTGTGGGACATTGCTGTGCGCAATTGGCTGCCGCGTTCGCCCACAAATTTACAGTCAATTCACTTTACAGTGTGTTCTGTGAAGCGCTTTGGGACGTCCTTCCGACGTGAAAAGCGCTATATCAAATGCAAGGATAAAAGGATATAAGAGTTGCTGTTCTTCAAATTTGATGTTAAATCAAGATGTATAGAGTGGCACTATTCAAAAAGGGAAGGAAGTTTCAGCTGATGTCCAGGCATTCAATTCCCCAGATAAAATTGATCATTCCCTTCATGGCTTTTTGTGGGATGCTACTGTGTACAGATTGACTATCACATTAGCCTTCAAAATGCACAGTCCCTACACTTTACAGTAAATTGTTTGAAGTACATTGAAACAGCCTCCTGATGTGAAATATAAGCATTATTATTATTTATCCATTAGATATAATACTGTAGAAGGTGATTCATGATTTAAGAGAACTCATTTTCAAGTCCTAACTAGTTCATGGCACATACTGACATGGCATTTCCTGTTAGAATGCATGTCAGGTTTATAAGGATTTTGTTCTGCATTGTATAATTCCTCTGCATTAATTGTTTAAATGGAAAGTCATGCTGCTCAAATTCTATCCAAATACTATTGTTGTTGAATTTTGTTTGGATACAAGTGGATATAAAGAATTTAATTTCAATACATGGTTTCAGGAATGGCTCCTACATGATTTGTGGCTATTTCACCTTCTCTTCTTCCATTTCCCACCTAGTACATTTGTATATTCAGCTGAAACATCCAGGGAGGTACCAAATGATATAACCAAATGATATAGAAAGGTTGAGGGTTTGAGTCACACTAACTTACTGCACCTATAGTGAATGGCTATGACTCATGTTCTCACTTAGGCAATGACACGTGGAGTAACCCAGAATTAAAATAGACTAATAATTTAAAATAGTAGTACGCGTGGGGTGGGGACGTTGGAGGTAGTGGGGGTGGAGAGAGGTTAATGGGGGTGTGAGGTTAGTGTGGGTGGGAGGTAAGTGGGGGTGGGAGAGAAAAGGGAGAAGATAACATCGATAAAAAAATAGTAATTTCAACTTCTAGCAGGAATGTATCAGTTTGCAACCTAAATTACAGTTTATACAAACCAAAGAAAGTTTTAGATTCATCAAAACTAACTAATTCTGGTCGAGACACATTGACATAAACACTTTCTCCTTTGGATAACTGAAATATTCCTGCTTCATAGCTATTCTTGATCCATCGTGCTCCATTCCCAGTGCACGGGTTGAGCGTCTTCATTTCCATTAAGATTATGTCTTTGGGATAGCGTTCAGTTCGTTTGAACACGTTGTGTTCTAAGTACATATTCTTCTGGCAGATCTGCCCTCGGAAATAGACCTTGGAGTAAATGAAGAAAAGCCCTGTTTCGTTGATAAGTAACCCTCTGTCTTTGTATTGTATGCCTCTGGTGAAGGCATGGCCCAAACTGTCTTCCCACATAATTGTCTTGGAATCCCCAGTAAAGCTCTTTCCTGCAGGAAGATCATTGGAAAACCATACATTAAAAACACTACAAAGAGCAAATTGTATACAATGTACATCTTTAAATCGATTGATAGATACTTATAAGTTATAACACAAGGGTAAGAATAAAGAAAATGGTGGGGAATTGGGATTAGAAAGATAAAAAGCTGCTGTGAACTTGTATTCAACTCAGTGGGATGACAGAAGTGCATACAGGTTTTTACAATGAAAGAGAAAAGGGAAGAGTGGTCAAGCAAGGTGTTGCCAAACAATTTAATGGGAGAAAGGAAATGACTAACCTGTCCCTTATGCAATGACAATATGCAACCCTCCCCCTGCTATACTTATAAGAGTCTGAACAGTAGTCTCAACTGTAACAGTAGGGTGGGTGTTCTGTAAGGATAAGGTCGAATGGGCCAAGGGGCTTTCTTCATCCAAATTAATCTTGTGATCTGGAATCCCTGTGCATTGGTTCTCTATAGCCATTTCACTCTATTTGTGTTCTGTGCCTTGCAGCACCAATTACTGATGTCATCTAGTGGCATGTGGTAGATACTGCGCCGGTTTTAAATGTCATCCTTTTGATAGGCTGAATGGGTTGCAGACCATTTTGTTTCTTCGACAGTGTTTATTCCATTCAACCTTTAGAGCTACTGTTCAATCCAACACAAAATATTCAAGTTGAAGCATTTCTTCAAAATCTTGCACAATGTATTAAAACCCAAATTTATAAAATAATAATTTCTTCAATTTCCCCTTTCATTTCTACAATTTGTATTTTTGTAAATCCACTTTTTTTTAAAAGAAATAGTTTATTTCCTTCTATCTGACTTTGCTGTATTTGCACCCTCTATAATTGCATTATTTTCTATGCTTCTGATACCGCCTTTGACTCTCTCAGACAGTTTTAATCTAAATTTCTCTGTTCTCTTTCATTGTTCCCCTTTGTTAAAGTCCATTCACTCTTGGGATTTCTCCTCTGCCTTTCTTCCCAAAGAAGAGCAAAATGTGCAGTACTGTAATTACTTACCCGTGAGATGTGCAGCTTTTTCTTTCTGTTTGACAGGGACTGTAAGGTTTCGAAATCCTATTAAGAAATGCAACAAGCAATAAGTACACAAAGTCTTATTACAAGGATTACATACATAAACTTGGTTTTTAGATAACCATTGTTATATTTGCTGTTTTCTCTTTGGACTGAGGCTCTTTGGATACCCGGTTTGCCAATTTCATTCAAAAGGTCAGGATACAATTTTCAGGTTTTTTGAACTTCAGAAACCACATCAAAGTGTATTGATGCTTGAGAGCTCCGACATTGCATTTCCTCAGTAAGTTTCACTGCTTCATTATAGTCTTTCATGCCATGTTGCACAAGTTGTTCTTTTACATCTTATAATATTGAAGCGGTGCAGTGTTACCCTGAGTGTTGGGTTCAGATTCAAGGGGAATCTTCCTAAGTGCAATGGGGGTCACAAAAGACAACACAGCTAGGCTTGCAACATAAAATAAGCAAAACTATTCCACACTCACCAATTTGCTTCTCCGTCCGTGGTTCTCTGGCAGTATTGACCTAATGAAAGGAATGAAAAGGTTTAATGTCCTATTCAGTGGTTTGCTTTATATTTTCTTCGTTAAACACAAGAATGGTTGGTTACCTGTTTCAATTCATTCAGTTCCTTTTGGAGTTGCATTATGTGCATTGTGCCCAATGCCACCCCTGCTAATGCTAGGAGGACCAAGAACAGAATCAGGATAGTGCCTATATTCCTCCAGTCTAATTTCCTTTTCTTCTTCAATGGTTGTAATGACCAGGCAGGTGCTGTCACACAAGGGTTGATATTCGGATTCCCATCCACCATGTAGATTTGTGGATATAAATAATTCTGTTGCATTGTTCCAAAAAGGGATCTGGTAAGGATGCGGTATTTTCGACAATTGGCTGAGTCGTCCTTCAGTTGTTTCTGAAGAGCAGAATAATCCACTAGCCCTTGAGCTGCTGTGGTCTCGCTAAAAAGCCTCTTGCATTTATAGTCAGATTCTGTTCCGTTACATAGCCCACGTGGGCACTTTTTTATCGTTCAATTTATACAAAGTTTCCAGATCTTCAAAGTTGTGAACAGTCGAGTTTAGCTGCAAACATCTGCATCTGTTGTACAAAGACCATCGAATGACACCTTTTATGTGCAATAAAAACACATCTAAGGCTAGATTGCAGTTGTACTGTGGCTTAGTGTATATACTTTAATCTGCATCTTTATACATCTGTGGTTTTAGAATGTGGGTAAGATGTTTGAGACTGTGCACGTCATATACTTGTGGTCTTAGTTTAACTTTCTTAGTAAAAAAGTAGCTTGAAATTCATCTGTCGCAAGCTCCAAAACCTTTAGCATAATCTTTTAGAGCAGTTTTGATGCGTTCCTCCAGGGAGACAGTGCGCATTCCATTCCAACGATCCATCTCAGGAATTTCCATGCTTTGGTGGGATGCATGGAATTCTGAGTTTGGTTACTCTTAAGCACGGTGATGGGTTTCTGCATGTGTCAGACACCCAGCTGACCAAAACAATATTTCCTGGTATACTTTCACATTTAGTTAATCAGTTGTAATTTGTTTCCCACCCTGGTTTTATTCAATTGGATAGAAAATGATATAGCCAAACATTGCGCCTAAAAATCAATGCATCCTTTGCTTACAATCCTACTTTTTAAACATATTGACCATAATGGTAATAGTGGATTAACATGTGAATGAATTTGCAACATATGTTACAGAATGCTAGTGCCTTTTTCTATGCATTCTGTCCAAATGTTTCAGTTTCATTAAAAAAAACTTTATCAGAGACATTGATAAAGAAAGCCCTTTGATCACATCATTGCAGTTTGATCACATCCTTGCAGAATATCCATCCTTCCCTTTCTTCCCATCGTACCATCAAAGTCATTCTTAAATTAGTTCATTGTCCTGCTCGGTTCCAGCAGTTGGTTCTCCTAAGAAATGTTTCCTGGTGTCAGTACAACAGAAAATTTAAAAAGGCAAAACCTAAAACAGTATTATTAATCATTCAAAGTTTAATTAAAGTGAGATTATAATAACACTTGCATTTGATATAGCGCCTTATCACGTCTTCGAGACGTCTCAAAGTGCTTCACAGAATGTACTGTGAATTGAATTGACTATATTTTGTGAGTGAAATGTGGCAGCCAATTGCTCACAGCAGTGTCCCACAAACAGTCGTGGATTGAAGTGACCAATTTATTTATTTACTAAACTATAGTTTGCGGTGTGTGGGATAGGTCAGGATTACTGAACACATTGATTCTGCTTTGCTGGGACTTTCTGGGTTTTCTATTCAGTTTGTGACTTATTTTTGCAGGAATTATTATACCCAGAAAAGCGATCCGCCAATTGACTAACACCTGGGTGCCTACTTACTGCTAGGTAAACACAGGCGTGTGGAGTAATGAAACTTGCCCAGCATTTTGCCGTACCCAGGAATCGAACCCAAGTCTCTCACTTGCGAGACGAGTGCTCTAACTACTGAGCTACAGGACTCTACAATTCTACACAAGATATTTTCATTATGATCTCCCAGATGTCTCAATCAAAGTAAAAAGCTTTTGTAAATACAAAACGTGGATAAAACGGGGACCACTTCAGTCAAACATAGTGCTAGAAATGTGGGGCAATCTTGTGTTAAAGTTAACATACATGTTTCCCCTCATACTTAAGACTTTTTTGTATTGAAGCCCCCTGAGCCTTTATTACATTTTGGGGGGAGTGGGGAGGGGGGGAGTGGGGAGGGGGGGTGTGGGGAGGTCAGCCGGGTTCTGACACTTGTGGAAACCCCTCACCATGCTTAAGAGCATCCAAACTAAACTATAGTTTGCGGTGTGTGATATAGGTCAAGAATACTGAACTCATTGATTCTGCTTTGCTGGTACTTTATGGGTTTTTTATTCAGTTTGTGACTCAGCAGAGAACCAGGATTGAGTGCAAAATGGAAAGAAAATATATTTCAACAAACCTAACCTTAAGCCTATTCAAAATATAATGGAAACAAAGCAAGCTACTATTAATAAATGCCACAAAGTTCATTGTGGATAGATTCTGTGAAATTACAAAATTTTTTTGACGCATATGTGGAGAAAGGGTCAGGCTTAATCTTATTTGTGGTATAATCCAATCTCTTGATCAAGTTCATTCTCTCCAGTTCAGTCACACGAGAACCAAGAAATATGATACTTTTCAGGGCTTGAGCAGCTCCTAAAATAGAACTTCTCAGTCACCCTCGTGTTCAATAACAAATTATATATATATTTTTTTACACAACGGGTGGATGTCCCAAGGCGCTGGAGAGTCAAGGATTTGCACCCAAGTTTGGGATCAGGAGGGGTGGAGGGCAGGGAGAGTGGTGTTAGGAAGCGCAGTCGAAAAGGAGGGTCTTTAGAAAGGCCTTGAATGAGGTAAGGGTGGGGGTGAGGCAAAGGGAGTTTGGGATGGAGTTCCAAAGATTGCGAGCAAAAAGGCTGAAGCCCCGGCCACCGATGGTGGGGCGGGCAGGGTCCATGGAGCAGACCAGAGTCCCCTTGAGCGGACAGGTCGGTATGGAGTTAGCAAGTCCCAGGGGTAGGGAGGAGCAATACCAAGGAGGGCTTTGAAAGCAAGGAGAAGGATTTTGAACTCTAGCCTCTGGTGGTTGGGGAGTCAGTGGAGCCGAACGAGGATAGGGTGATAGGTTCACGGAGCTTGGTGTTGGAGAGGACATGAGTTGCAGAGTTCTGAATAATCTGCCAAGCCCAACTTCCTACCCAAGCAAGCTTAAGCAACTACTGTCTACCTTTGACTCATTTTCCAACTGTTACTCAGACTTTACTCAAACATTTCTATTAGCAGGGTGATTGTTCTCATGGCAATTCCCTCCCATTGAAGGGAATACAAAGTCCATGCAATGGGTGTGTATTGGCAGGATAATGGCACTGCACATTAACATAGTGTTGTTCAGAGATGGCAAATGGGTCAGAGGCATCTCCAGAGGTTGGGAAGAAGACCAAAGGGAGAATGGTCACTTGGCTGTTTTTNATATACTTCCTGAGCAACCCAGATGGAGGACATGATTCAGCCCATTAAGCCTTCTATATTTTATTAGATCTTGGTCAGATCTTTTAAGCTCGTTGGCCCACATCCCTTAATACCACATATATGCCTGGCAGTAAATTAGAATATACAGTGTATGAAATGGAAAGTGGTTATTTGATTCAGCCATAATGCTTAACCAAATCAGAGGACAAATATTGTTCAGAACAAAGGCACAGTGTATTGGACTGCTCAGCAATGACTGGTAGTTTGACGTGTATTGAATGGTTTGATTTTGTTTTAATACTGAGCCTGGTTCAGTACTCCACCTTAGCTCAGGTACAGAAAATAGCTGAGGGCCTCAACTGGAAGCACAGTGTTGATTTGAAAGCATTAACCTTCCATGGCAAAGATCTGCAAACCATCTTGATTTCCAACAGCTAATAATGGTCACTGCCAACATCTCAAACCTAATAAAAAGTACTGTAGATGCTGGAAATCTGAAACAAAAACAGAGATTGCTGGGACACTCAGCAGGTCAGGCAGCATCTATGGAGAAAGGAAAGTGAGTCAATGTTTCAGGACATGACCCTTCGTCACAACTGTTCTGATGAAGGGTCGTGAACCTGAAACGTTGACTCACTTTTCTTTCTCCATAAATGCTGCCTGACCTGCTGAGTGTTCCCAGTGTAATCTAAGTGTGTGTGAGCACATAGGCAAACAGATATAAAAGACAGTCAGAACCAGTGGATATGTTCCATGTAAAAGCTTTATTTTAATGTAACAATGTGCCATTCCTACTACAGCATAGGATTCAAAAATGCTAATGAAAATGCACCTTGCTTGTAGCTGATGGAAACTGCATCAAAGTGAAGCAGGAAAACAAAACTACAACTTCAGAAGACTTAACCACAAATAAGTTGAGTTTGGCAAGAGATAAACAGAGTGTCTTCAATGCTTGAACATTGGTACTCTGAGCAGTTTGTTCCGTGGAGCCGACCTGTATTAATGAATGTATTATTTAAAGGCATTGATACATCCTCCTGATGTGGAAGGCACTATACAAATGTAAATTGCATTGTTATTGCAATTTCAGGAAATTGCACTGAAAATCAGTCCTGTTCATTGCATAGCACTGCAAGGAGGATTACAATGAACAGTTTTTCCTGGGTATCTGGAGCGATTTCATCACATCATTCAAAGAAAATCACTGGAGTTGAGATATCAGAGGACTACTGTTCTGATCGAACCATAGCTTTCATAGAATGATATCATCTGGAGTACAAGTGACTGCCTTCCATGAAGAATGGGGGAAGAGAGAACATTTTATTAATGAATAATTTTCTTGAAAGTAACTTTGGAAGTTGAATTTGACAGGGGTAACCACGTTCTGTTCCTTAATTATCACTTAATAGTCATGGAATGTGTTTGGGAATACGTAATTTTATGACCCCATAGTTTTTTCTCGCCTCCTCTGGAATCCTCTCGTCACTTATAAACTTACAACTCATTTTAAATTACATGAACTGGTGCAAGAAAGACATTTTTAAGCACACTGTGAAAACCTTGCATTAACAGCCTGCTTTCACTGTAATTACTGCGCAGTACGGTTGCTTAAATTTGAGCTTACTGCACTTGTGTTAGAAAATCACCTTGATTATAGCTATGGTTTGCCGTCTAATGTTCAGTATAAATCAAGGCAGATGTGATGCAAATCGTGCTGGAACCCTGCTCCTAATACTGCTGGGAAGTGGCAAGTGTAAAAACAACAGTGGACTCACTCCCTTTTGATATATGTTTTAATGTTATTTAAGTGTTCATTATGTGACATAACATTCAAAACACTATTTCTCAATTCTGTGCACGTGTGAAGCAGAATGTATAAATGGAGATTTAGGCTTCAAACTATTCTGCTAGAAGCAAAGCAGATTTATTCCCACTTGAAGGCAGTATATACTGTGGCCTTACCCAACATTTCCCAGCAGCACTGGTGCTAACTAAAGCTTATATATTCCAAAGCAAGTTGTACTTTGCTTCATAGCAACCATTCTTGGATTTGGCACAGTGACATACAAACGCTCACCTTCACTCAGGTAAAATATTCCAGCCTGATAGGTATTCTTGCCCCACATTCTACTACCAACGCAGTACATGTTAGTTACCCTAGTTTCCATCAGAATCATAGCTTCGGGATACCCTTCACTTTGTTTGAAAACAGTCTGATGCAATGGGAGTTGCTCACATTCCAATCCTCGGAAATAGACCCTTGAGTAAATAAAGTAGTATCCGGTTTCACTGATGACCAACGCTCCATTCTCGTAAGCCACTCCATCAGTAAAGGCATAGCCCAATCTATCTTCCCAGAACAGCATGGTGGAATTCGCATCTGAAACTTTAGCTGCAATTGCAAATGGAAATTAAATATTTATTACCAAGCACAGATCATACTGTAAGCACCGAGTTGTTTTCTTCAAATGTGGTTAATTTATAACTTCACAAAAATCAGGTATTCAGTTAACCTAACTGAATTGAAAAGATTCCTCAATTTCAAGGAGCATAGTGTTGGTGTGTGAATGGCTTGCAATGGTTTCTCTTCCTTTCTTGCAATGCATGTTTCTCTTTATATAGAAGTGAAAGTAGAACGTTTCCTTTCTCTCTCTCTCTTTCCTTTCATCTTCTTTCTAAATGTCATTTTGTCTTTCTTCATTTATTTTTAACTCTTTCTCTTTAATTTGGCCTGAATAGTTCTCCCAATTTATCTTTCACATTTGTTTTTTCTCTGGTTAAGTTGTTTCTCTTTATTTCTCTGCTCTTTGCCATTACTTGACGCAGTTTATTATCCACCCACTAACCACCTTGAAGAGGATAGTAACCACAGACCTGTAAGATGTGCGGCCATTTTTCTGTCATTCTTTGTCTTGTCCTTGGTTGCTGCGCCACAAAAATTGGTTATAGACACAACATGAACCCGATCCATTATGAAATGCTATTACTTCATTTCCTTTTCATTGCCTTTGGTCAAATAGCATGAAATTGGTTTACACATTCGATAAGCATCTCTTCCACAGCCTGACCAAATAATATAATAATAAACCTTGCATTTGATATAGCGCTTTTCACGTCTTCTCGATGTCTCAAAGCGCTTCACAGGATAGACCATAAAGCGAATTGACATAAATTTGCGAGCGAAACGCGCACAGCAGTGTCCCACAAACTGTCGTGGATTGAAAAAATACAAAGTAAAATACCAACTCACCAATAAGCTTCTGTGGGACTTTTGGTGAATCTGAAGGGTCCTGCAAATATTTTTAAAAATGGGGGTATCCATCAACAAATTATTAAAAATAAATATTTAAGATTAGTCTTTTGAAGATTTAAAATGTACCTGGGTTACTTGATTCAGCTGCTGTTGGAGTCTAAATAGATAGTTCATGCCTACTATGAGCCCTGCCAACTCAACAAAAAGAAAGATTACAATCAGACCCGCGTAGACCTTCTGCCTGTCTGTTTTTCTCTTCGGCATCTCCAGTGGCAGAGGGATGGGCCACGTAGACAAGTTCTTAGAAGGATAAGAGTTTTGGTCATCTCTTTCTAAAGAAAAAACGTTATTCGGTTTCATTATCAATACTACTTTTAGTCCAGACAGAGAACCGTGCGATTTCTACAGAGCCCAAGTCATCCACAGTGACTGAACTGACTGCAAGTCTTTTGTAAATTGTTGCGCAACCGCTACGGTGGCCGTTTAGGCTTTTTTTTTTGCACACGGGTGACCTTTTTGAGACAAAACCCACATGGGCCTTTGTTTTGAAGTTTCCTGGACATTTGCACCACTCCAAATACTGAGCGATGCACATGATAGAAAATATTGACCACATCAATACAAAAGATAATGCAACTTTCATTTAATTTCCTTTAATGATCAACCAATTATTAGTGTCACATTATGCATTTTATTTTGAAACTTAAGCAACTAACTGTCTAATGCACATTTTATTTCAAAGCTATTAACTTACATAGGGAGGGGAGGTCAATGCTTGCACCAAATGGTTAGCAAAGGAAGTAGAGATGTGCATATTTATTGCTCTTCACGGTTAACACATTCATGGCAAAAGCTGTCAAGAATTACTTGCAAATTACTATTGAAAGTACTGGAGATTTCCAATGTCTCAGTGAGATGGGTTCAATATTCTTTTCAAGCAAATTGTCAGGAATGAAGGTAATGTCCTTTATTCTCTGCAGTTCATTTGAGAGAAGCCCAAGAACTCTCTTGCACCAGGGCCTACAATAAGTGGAGTAGCTAAACCGTCACAATCTCCAGTAGATATCTCGAGTCCTTTGGTTTCCTGCAACAACTAACCCAATAACAGACTGACATCAGACACATATCAGGTCCCAAAGGTTCCTGCCAGAGTTTGCAGGTTTACAAGAAACTCCAGCTGTCTGAATGTGGATCTGCATCACCATTCAGGACATCACTCTCTTATGTGGAAATTCTTGAAACCCTAATCAAGGCCTCTACATTGCGCCTTTAGGTGACCTGGGACAATTTTCCAGCACTCTGCTCAAGTCCTCACAGATATAGTTGCCATCTCATTGCAAAACCTTTTCCAGCATCTTGGATGATGGTGAAATTCGCATTCCCTTTGAGAGGTTAATAGTGCAAGTAAAAACCTCACCTCTTCATTTATCTTGGAATTCAATTGCAAATAAAGCCTGCATCTCACCTAAAAGCAGAGTTTACCTTTCAGAGATTAACTTCACGTTTCATGGGATTGTGTCAGCAATAGCTTTTCTTAGATTAAAGCTGTATTTGAAGCAGTTGACCCAACACTCAATTAAAAGAAAGTATGGTACTGTAGATTCAAAGCCAATGGAGATTCTCTTCAGTGTTATGAAAGCACTGCTTTGAAAACTAATAGGCATGCCTCTAACAGAAGGCACACTTGAGTAAAAGAACTTGGCATCACTTTAGTCACATGATTAATAAGATTTTTTTGGAGTATCCGACATCAACACAAATTTGTCAACATCATTCTCTAACTCTGCTAACATGTCACCCCACAATTCACAAGGTGATTTCTGCATGAATTATGGATCCTTCAACCCTCTACAATCTAGCAGGATCAGCAACATCTGAGTGCAAATTACAAAAAAAATATAAAACACACATTGTGCAGAAATAAACTTGACTAATTTTTCTTGGAATCAAGTCACTTTTCACTACTTGTATGGTTTTCATCTTTGATGATGACACAAAGTATTACATGTTACACAGTACATGCAAGTGACCAATCATCTTATTAATGTCGGTGGAACATCACTGTCACAAATGAGCTGCTCTGCAAATTAACTCATGTGAAGCATCTGAAAAATTTTCACTCGTGTGAAAATTATTTAATTTGTCTAACCCTGTAGATAAGGCAGTATGTTAACAAAAAACACCATTTAATTATTAGAAAATTAGATCTTTCAATTGTTGTTCCTCGTAGTTTCAGTAGCAATTCATTCTGCACAGAGATATACGAATGTAGGTGTAGGCTCATTCAATGTGATGGAGTTAATCAGGCAGAATGTGAAAGAGCTAGCCTAATGTTTAGACTAACTCAAGATAAAAGGGAGCACAGCTCAACACCAATAGCCAGCAGGAGGCAAAGTGGTTTATTTCAGTTCAACATCAGAAGCAAACAAAGAGATTTTTAGATATGTGATGCAGTAATTTTGATAATTCACCAAGCACATCGCAATGGAGAATGAATTCTGTATTGGGCTGGCATTTGCTCATTAGTTACAAAAAAGATGTTCCTTTTCGGCAACAAAGGAATGTGCAGTATCAGTTTTATTCAGGTTAATACGTGTAGAGAATTGCATCAAGATAGTCAATCGCTTCAGGACAATTCTCATAGTTGGAGGGCAGAAATTCTGAAAGCACTATATATATATATATATATATATATATAAAAAAACATCCCACAGTGTCACATGCAGTAATTACAGATCACTGTTCTCACATTGTTTTTGCTTTATCCAGTCAATGTGGCTTTGCCTTCACTGCTGCTTACTCATTTATCTAGCCGTATAGTGAGCAGCAGTTTCCTCAAATGCAAAATGGAAAATCTGTTCAACATTGCCGACCACATTGGTCTTTGCTGTCTGTACTCTCATGGTTTTTCATTTCTGAAGGAACTGCACACCACCTTCAACTGAGAGGACAGTTGAATAAATTCCCAGCCTGAAAGTGGGGATTCTCTCTTGGATTCCCCCCACCCACCCCATCTTTCCCCAAGTCCCACGGTTTGAGGCGCTACTATGAAGCTCAAACTACTGTGAGATATTGACCCAGACTCTCAGCTTCTTTGCAAGGAGTTCAATAGCAATCAATATTGGACTCTCTCATCCTCCCCATGGAGAAGAGTGAATCCCTTCCCTCCTCGTAGGATAAATTCTGCCCTCTTCAGAAATGCAGCCAGTCCACAGAATAAGGAGAGACAGATCACTACTTTGTGGCTTCGGAGATGCATGGTCCAAGAGATACATACATCAGCCGGAGATAATGGTTTCTACAAGGGCATCACCCTACAGAACTGAAGTAATAAAGATGGCATGGAACAACAAACTCGCAGAAGGAATAATGATCATCATATGTGATCTACATTATGACAACGTACACAGAGATTCAAGTCAGCTTTCGAAACAGGAACAAGAAGAGGTCATTCAAGGCATATGTCAATTCTTCCACGGATCATCTCATCTGATATCCTGGAAACATTGACCAGATCTCACTAGCCAGTTAAATTGATAAAATCAAATGATCATTTTACATTGTACAGTACTCTCAACACAGCACAGAAAACACGTCAAGAGTAACATCAAGGGCTACTGCTGACTGAATTGGACAGTTTACGACATAAAATATGGATAGGCAACAATGGACAATTAGAATCTTGCCCCTCCAGCGCAGCAGTCTGCTCAAAGTAAAAGAATTTGCGATTCACATTATGTGGGTTTGCTCTGAATTTGTGCACTGACTGAAATGAGGCTTATGCAAATCTACACATCAGGTTTAGTTATTTTGCAAACGGTATCGCAAGTGCATGTAAATGTCAACCAGCAGCCCATACTGCGTGTAACTACCCAACACCCACCCCCAAGAAGTGAACAAAGTCGTATAGGCCGATAGCAATCTTCGCATTGGATTTCCAACATCACTTGAACCACTAGGCATTAAAGATGCTAGTTACATAGAGATAAACAACAGTCTAGTACCCAAGGCTGTGTCAGTAGTTCTGGTGTGTTACCAAAGCATCAAGTTTCAGTTTCAAATAAATGTTGAAATAACTGAATGTGGTCAACAGAACTGGTGCTTTTTTGTGTATGGCATATATAGGGGTGCTTGCTTCAGTGGCATCAGAAATAAAATGCATTTTTTTAAGAAACAAAAACTATTTGAGTGTTGACAAACCGTTCTCCTTCATATATCTGAGCTAGGCGTGAAACAGAAGGGACTCTTTTGATCCATTTGCAAATTTTTGGATCAGTGAGAATTTTCTGTAAAAAAATGTGGTGGGGGGAAGCAACTGCAGGAATAAGGGCTTTTGAGATGTTTCCAGCCTTATCACAGCTTATCTTCAATAGGTGCTGCCATCATACTGAACGCTGGTGCCTGTGGAATAGCTGATGAGAAAACTCTGAGACTTGGAATAATAGCTGTTGGAAGGTGCTACCTGGAGTCCAGATTCACAAATACACCTCCATACTTCAACTGGTGGAACCATCACTCAGTCCATTGGGAGTTGTGTGTTTGGGCTGTGGACAGGAAAATAACAATAATAATCCTTGCATTTGATATAGCGCTTTTTTTCATGTCTTCTGGTCGTCTCAAAGTGCTTCAAAGAATAGACTGTAAAGTGAATTGACTGTATATTTGTGGGCGAAACGCAGCAGCCAATTGCGCACAGTAGTGTCGCACAAACAGTCATGCATTGAAGTGACCAAAATGGTGACAATACTGAAATTGTCTGACAATACTGAGGCAACGCCTAATAGCCTGTAAAGGGAGGAACAAGTCCCAAGGAGGTTTTTTTTCCGGCTGTGCAACAAAAATGTAAGGTTATGCTCTGTCCTCTTCAGAATTTACCTGTATAACCTGCTTTCATTTTTGCTATTTGCAAAACCTGGATAAAGTACAAATGAAGCAAGCTCAAAACCTATTATGTCCTTTCACAATGCAAGAGGCCCTTACTTTTTTCCCTGTATATTGTAAATTAAGAGTGTTAATAGACAATGAATGCGTCCAACCACATTGAAACATCATAGAATCCTACAGCACAAAAGGAGGCCATATGGAGTCAATCGTGCCTGTGCTGACTCTTTGAAAGAGCTACCCAATTAGTCCCACTTCCGTAGCTCTTTTCCCTTAGCCTTGTAATTTCTTTCTTTTCAAGTAAATATCCAATTCCCTTTTGAAAGTTATTACTGACTCTGCTTCCACCACTCATTCAGGCAGTGCATTCCAGATCGTAATAACTCGCTGCCTAAAAAAAATTTGCTGTGTAGTTGCCTGCAGTTCAGAAAAACATACAAATTACAGACACTAGACAAATCTAGATCTTCACTTCTCCCTTTCTCTCTTTCTTACCATTATCCCCCCTTCACCACTGCCTTCAAAATTATAAACTTAGCCACAAAGCTGGTTTGGAGATTGTACAATATTATTTCAGGG